TTAATTGTTGGTTTGTGAATTATATAAACTGTTATTTGATAATTCTGTAAAGCTATCATTAAAATTGTTATAATTCCAATAAGGTATACATGTGTTGTAAATGGCAATATATAATTTGGGATGAGAATATTATATAAGTTGGTGTAAGAGTCCAGGCAAATTAAGTCTGTGACTGTAGTGTATTTGCTTGGGTTATAGTTGCATGAAGATATAGTTGGAGTTTTTTGGCCTGTGAGTTAATTGTTGCAAGGTGAGATAGTTATGTAATAGTAGTACTTGGCAGGAATATTTGGTATAGCAAATTGTTTTGAGTCATTAAGGTGATAGGTAGTTGTGAATTTTGGTAAGTAACTAAGATAATAGATAAGTGTTAAGGTGAGGTTTTCTTTTTTAGCTGTAAAGGAGACTGTATGTTAAGTTTATGATAATGCTGTATTAGGTCATTTATATCTGTTCGAAGAACCTTGGAGCTAGATACTTTAATCACAATACACTGAGATGTAGTAAGTGTAATTATGCATTGCTGGCTAGTATTAGCAGCACAGGTATGTTTGCATTAGAGGCATTTAGTAAGTAGTGCTTTGTGCTGTAGTTCAGATAATAGCATTTAATAATGTTTTATATGTATTGTATTGTTTGTATTATATGTTTTTTGCATTTTTCCTATAATTAGTATACTTTTAATTTTGCTAAGCATTCAGGCACTTCTCTTTAGCATCATAGAGTTTGTGGTAAATGGATTAGAAGTAATGATAGAAATGTATGGTGTAGTAGTTGCATAAAAGATATATTAGAGTTCCTGAAACTACTTAGGAATTCTTTCTCTTGGTATTTTTTGTATTTTGTATGCAATACACTGCCATAAAAAAAGCTGTATATTTGTGTAATTAGTAAGTTGTTTGATAGCAAAAATGTTTGCTTTGTTGGTTAGTGACTTGATTTGTGTTGGTTTAGTACAGTGTTTAATTAATGTATCAATAGAGGTGCCTTTGTATATAGTTGGTATTGGCCAGAAATTAGAAAGGTTTTGGATATTGATTCCAAGTTAGTGTGCAGTTCTGATGGTTTGGGCTATAAGTGTATTATAAAACTTTGTAGGTAGTATATAATTTGGAAAATATAAAATATTATTAGATGAAAGTGTCACTTGTTAAAGATGTTGTAATAAGATTTTTATTGATGGGGCTGTTAGTGAATTGTTTAGTTGTATATGAAAAGAAGAGATATGGTTCTGTACTTGAATGTTTGTTAGGCTACATAGGTTGTATATTTGGTGATGAAATATGGTAAATTGGGTATCATTGAAGCCAGTCCAGCTTTGTGTTTTGCAACTTGTATGTATAAGTTAGTAATACTTTTGGTGTTAGATTAGTAAAAAAATGTGTTTAAGGTTCTATATAAAAAGTGAAATATGAGTACAGTATTAATAATATAGATTGTTTGTTTTTTTGTGATTTTTTTGTTTTTTATAGTACTGATAAGGTTGGTGGCCTCAGCAATAATTTGATTATATATATGTTTGTGATGACTAAGTAATGTAAACTAGCAGCCCAGATAGCAAAAAGTATCTTTTAATGAGATAGTATATATGATAATGTTAGCAAAGTTGATTGTTGGGTTTAGATCCTTGGTCTGGTTCATTGCAAGGATTGATTTAGTAGGATTGACTGTAATGTTGGCCATATTGTAGAAGAATTCAGCAGTATTAACAATTTGTTAAAGGGTGTGTATGTTAGGAGCCAGCCATAGTATATCATCTATATAGGCTAGTACTGATGTATTATATATTATGTGTTGTGTGTTAGATACAGGTATTATTAACATATTATATCCTTAAAATTTAGAATAAATATAAGTTATTAGAGGGTTGTAATATATATGCCAGAGAAGTAGTGTGCTTGTTTCTTCTTGGTCTATGCCATCTTGTACATGATAACAAGATGTAGAACCAAAGTTTGTGATAACTAAGTTGTATCAGTTGTTGTGTATGTTAATTATGAGTTGTTGTATATTGATAAAATTTTTTAGTCGAGTTAAGGCATGTTAAAGAAGTAGAATGTGTACAGAGTCATATGCCTTGCTCATGTCCTGAGCCAAGAGCCATATTTCTTTATTTTGTGTTTATACTTTTCGTAGTATATTGGAAAGATTTGTATGGGTTGTGTTGTAGAGAAATAAGGCAAAGCAACAAAGTTGTATAGATCTAAAATAAGATATTTAGACTTTATTTTGCTAAGTTAGTTAGTAATAATTTTTGTAAAGATTTTTTGAATATGTTCAAGAAGTATTATAGGTCTGATATAATTGAGTTGACCTGTAAAGGTTGGTTTTTTTAATATAAAATATATTTTGCTTTGTTTCCAAGCAATAGGAATGTTTGCAATATTTAAGCATGAGTTGAATAGAATTGTTAAGAGTTTAGTAATATGAGAATGAGTATGCTTAAGCATTTCATTAGAAATAAGTATAGGTCCAGATGCTTTGCTGTTAGGTGAAGCATTTATTGTATTGATTATCTCTTGTTGAGTTATTGGATCTGTTAATGTGTTATATTATGCTAAGAATATATTTGTTTTGGGGTTGTATTTATTTTTCTATTGTTCCCAAAGGTTTGGGTTGTATGAATTGTATTTGGTCCAGTTTGTGAAATAATCTTTGATGTGTTGATGGATCTCTTGTGATTTAGTTATTATAGAATTGAGGAGTTTTATGTTGTCAAATAATACAGTGTTGGTATGTCTGTTGAGTATACTGTTGATTATTAGTGTAGTATTTAATGTAAAGTTGCTGTAGCATTTTTCAACCTGTTGGGTAATGTGTTGAGATAGTGTGTATTTGTTTTTACTTTCTCAAGTATGGTATAATGTTTTATGATATTCTTTTATTGTATTAATAATGTTGGAAAGTTGGCTATTATCAATGTTCAATAGGGTAAGAGGTGTAATAGATATGTTAGTAAGTGATTGAATTGTTTGTATTTTTTGGTTTAAATTATTTAGTTGTATAATATTTGTTTCATTATTATTATTAATATCAGTGTGAAGGTTGACAAGAGTAAGAAGTATGCTGTCACAAATGTTTAGTGCTATATGAGTTTTTGAGGAAATAGATGAGAAGTTTTGAAATTGTTTTTGTGAATGAAAGGTAAAGAATATATGTGTGTTGGCTGCATTAAGTACTGCATATTGGATCTGATACCAAAGTTAATTAATGATTAGTGTAGATGCTATTGTTTCTGTAGTTGAAGATGATAGTTGATAACTTGTTTGTTGAAACTGTTTTTAAAGTTTGTTTGTCATAGTATTAATTTGTATGCCTTGTATTTGTATTTTTTGTGTCATTTGGTTGGTTTAGTATGTATTTGAATGATGTAGTGATCACTGTTAGTAATGCCAGTTGCATGGATAATAGTAAGTGTTGTGAATATGTATATAATTTGTTGTGGAACCCAGAGTTCATCAATTTGACTAGAAAGCTGGTTACATAGCCAGGTAGAAGTTTGTAGGTAATAAGTATATATTAGTAGAATAAAGTTATATAATATAAAATATTTGTATAAAGTAGAATGCTGTAGCCTATTAAGGTCTTGGTTAAAGTCTCCTATAATTACTAGAATAATATTAAGTTGTTGTACTTGTGTAATCCAAAGAATAATTTGGTTTTGTGTTTGTTTGTTCATATTAGAGTTATTAGATAAATATGTAGAGATAATATAAAAGTTGTTTTTGTGTAGTAGATAAAGATCAATTGCTATAGCAGTGACTTGGAGGGTTTGGATATTATAAATATAGGTTGTAAGTGATTGGTTTATAAGAATTATTGTTCCTGCACTGGACTCTCTTGAATGTTGAGAGTTGGTGATATTGTTGTTTGACATAAAGTATTTGTAATTATTATTATAAAGTGTGTAATGAATATATTGAGAATGTGTTAGTTTTGTTTTAGTAAGTGATATAATGTCAAACTGTTGGCTAATACAATTATCTAGTCATAATTGCCTTTTAGTAGTGTTATTATATCCTTGAATATTATATATTGAGATGATTAAATGTTAGTATATGGGTTTGTTGTTTTGTTCAATAGTGTTATTTATTAATATGAAATTAGAAAATGTCCATTGCCACTGTATTGGTTGTAGGTGGCTTATTTGGTATTGTAGTAGAATTTTTAAATATTTTCTATGTTGGTGTAAGTAATAGTAGTAAGTTAAGTAAGAAGTCTGAGATTGTGCAAATAGTATAGTGTTGTCTAAGAATTTGCATTGTTGGTATTATTTCTGATTGCAGGGTTATTGGAAGAGTAAGTTATATATTATTCTGAATTAATGCAGAGTTGATATCTTCTATATTGTTAGGTATAGGTGAAAGTATTTATGCAGTTTGAATAGATTTATTGCTATCAGCTTTGTCTTCTTGCTCTGCAGTTTGAACAAGAGGATTTGTAATGCTAATCCATAGTAATGGTAGTTATTTGAAATAGAAATGTTATCAGAGTGTTTTTGTTATTTGTGTAAGTTGTTGAGGTGTTGTAATAGGTAATGTAATGTTAAGTTTGGCAAGTTCTTGGCTGTCTGTTAGTAGATCAGGTTTGTCTGTAGGGTTTGCTTGCATTATATAATCAGATATTGGGAATCGAATACAGTATCATTAAGAAACTTCCTTAAGAAATTCTTTTGCTATTGCATTATTAGTTATTGGATAGGCATATTGTGAGTTGGTACAAATAAGATCTGAGTTATTAGGCAAAAGTGGTTTGGTAATAAAGTAATCACTAGGAAGTAGTTTAAATATATAGTACTCTCTTAGTAATGACCCTAGTGTTGCTTATAAAAAAATTTAGCTGATGTCATTGTAAAATCATATGATGACGAAATTAAGTTTATTGAATTGTATCAATATTATTTCTTATTATTAATAACATATATAAAATAATTATTGTTAGCATAATAAAAAAAATGGATGAAAAAATCTCTTGTAGCCAATGTCATACTGAACAAAGCTATGAAAATTTCATTAATGAAAGAGGAAAGCAAGTAACAACTTGCCAAAACTGTCGATATAAACGAAAAAGAACTTTAGATCGAATGCAAAATCAAAATTAAGAATATAGCTCAAGAAGTGCATCAGCCATTAGTTTCGAAGACATTAGTGAATTTGTCTATAATTCTCTAGTATCTTTAGAAGGAACTAATGAGCAATACGAAAGTGATTCATCAGAGCTTTATATTAATTTTGACATTCAACTGTCACAAAATAATAATGAGTTAATAAAAGATTATACAACTAAACAACTTAAAGAATTGGGTGATCGAATAATATTTCTTATAGAGAAAGAAGACAGCTATAGTTGGATTTACAAAAGTCAAAATTTGGCTGATTATTTAAATTTAATTTATTGGTGCAATTGTAGAATTGAACTTGGAAAGCATAGATCAAAAGTTTTAGATATTAATAAGCAAAGAGATACCTCTGCACAGCTTGAACAATATGACTGTAAAGGATTTATAAATATCAAAATATCAAAAAATAACAATTTGATTAAAGTTGATTATTAACATTTGATTTTACATTTACATCCTATACATGTTTAAACAACTCAAGAAATACATGAATTTATTCGTCAAAATATAAACTACTTAGTTCCTGAACTTTGGCAGCAAATATATAAGAAAAAGCTTAATGGCTATAATGATTTAAGTATCCAGCAAGTCTATTATTGGTGGTCTCTTGAGTCACGAAAAATTTATCAGCGTAATTTAGATCCATTAAAATTAGCACATATATTATTAAATGAATTTAAACAAGAGATTATTATTAATGTAGTAAATCCTATTGGCATACTTGGTTTTATAACATCACTTTTTCAAATACTTCTGTGTAATAATCTTGATGCTATTGAAATTGATTCAACTTATGATATGAACTATAATAAGTGGGAATTATATGTAATAATGGGTGTACTTGATGGAATGAGATTTCCTTTAAGTTATCTCTTAATTGAAGCTGACAAAAATCAAGATATTACTGGAATACTTATTAGTTGGATGAAAGAATTAAAAAACTGACAATTAATTAATTTTCCATTTGTTTTTGTTAATAAAGCAATGGCTGAAATAAATGCTATTCACTCTGTTTGGCCAGAATCTCATTTACAAATATGTGCATGGCATGTATATTGAGCAATCAAGCAAAGATTAACATCAAATAAAAAAATTCGAAATTATAATTATAATTCTTATATTGCATATCAAGAATGTTCTGGAATTGATCCAGAATGGAACCCTCAAGTTAATAATAACTCAAATATTATTTGTCCTTTAGAACTTTGAAAAATGATTTTGAATCTTGTTGATCAGCATTATAATCATCATATGTTGTTACCAAAACCAAATGGTGAATTTATTATAAACTCAAAACTTATTTGGGAAGAATCTGTATTAGAAATAAATTAATTTTGTCGTGATCATAATTTATTTAATCTCTGGCTATATTTATGGTTGGAATGGTATTCATATAATAAATGGATTTTATGGACAAGAGCTGCAAATAATACAATTAGTCATATCAAGACTACAATGATTGTAGAATCACATTGGCAATATTTGAAGCATGATTACTTATACAAATTTTACAAACCACATATTGATCATTTGTGTTATATTCTTATTTGAAAAGTTATTAATCAACAACTTTATTGAATTCATTTATTACAAAAGAGGCATTATACAATTCTATGGAGAAAAGCATTTAAAAAAGAATGGCAAAAACATAAAAAAAAGAATATAAATATTAACAACAAAAATAAATATAAAACAAATATAAACAACTAGACATGTTCCTGTTTTTTATATCTTCAAAGCTGATTTTTTCTGTGTAAACACTTAGTTGGTAGTATTGATAAAATCGATGATACTTTTTTTAAAAAGGCAAGTAATTCATAATTAGTATAATGTGGTAATTGTATATTATATATATATATTTAACCCTATTTGTTTATATAGATACAAAGAAACAGTGACTATCCAATTATTAAAATAAATACAAATGAAAATAATGTTTTTAATTTTTTAAATAAAACTAATTCTAATATTTTGATTCACTATGATTCAATTGAAACCAATGATAATGACTTTTTACTTGACAGTGATAATGACTTATCAATTGAAAATGATGAAAGAAGTTCAAATAGTATTTTAAATCATTTATACAAAGTTCTTGATCAGGTAAAATATATTACACTTAATGTACTATAAAGCTATTAATAATTATTATTATATATATTTATTAGAGCAAGACACTTCTTACTCTATCACATAGTAAACTAAACAGTGAACTTTGGTTAAAATCAGTTCACTCTAATTTCAAGCCATTAGAAAGTATGATCGAAGATATTAAAAAATTTAAAGAATATAGGACTCAAAGATATTTGAACCAAAATACGATATAGGGAATATGTAATTTTTTTTAATGCCAGATTTTTTTTATATATTGTATATTGTTTAAATGTATAATATATAGTAAATAGTTTTGAATTTATTACTTAAAGCTAATGTGAAAAATTATTATTAAGAAATATGTATAATATATGCAATTAAAATATGTGTATGTATATAAATGCTATATAGTTACTTGCTATTTCAACATATTGATATGCTTAATTCAGAAATTTAAAGCCATCATATGATTTTACAATGCCGTCAGCTAAATTTTTTTATAGGTAACGCTAGGGTCATTCTTTCTTAACTGTGCAACTGCCTCAGCTAATGGTATTTTGGATATAGATGAGTTGAATGGGAAAAAATCTTTAATTTTGTAATTAAGTTTCTGATATGTAGTAGATAGTGGTTGTTTTGGTGATGAGAGTTGAAAATATGAATTTGGAATTACAGTAAATGTGTAGTAGTCAGCCAGTTTGCATCTAAAATATGAGAAATATTGTAGTGATTATTTGCTTGTAATTGGGAAGTAAGTTTTCAATTCTAGAAAGAGTTTTTGGTATCTTTCTGGCAATGTTGGAAGTTTTGCAAAATAGTTATCTATAAGCTTGTCAAATCTGAAGATTTTTCTTAGTGCATTAACAGTGACCCTTGTATATTATCTTTGAGTAATTGGAAATGTGAATAGTAATATTTCTTGAATGTGTTCAGAGATTTCATTAGGATCTGATGATAGAGGTATAAGCTTTTTTTGAAGTGTACTATTAATTGTAGCTTAAATGGATGTAGATGTTTGTTCATTCTTATTTTGGATTTGTAAAAACCCTCTTGCATAGTAAATAGTCTTGTAAATCATAAAGAAGGTGTAGTTGGAAAGTTAGTATTTGAGAGGTATTGCAATATAAGCATTTGTTTAAACATAGTATTTATAGTTTTGCAAGTAGCTGCATCTGTAATTGTAATTTGATTAGTTTGTTTATAAACAGTCAAAGCATTATTGTATAGGTTAGTATATTCTTTCTGGTGTGCTGAAGTAGTATTTGAATTTTTAGTAAAGGTGATAAAGAATGTGATATCAAAATACTTGAATTTAAGAAATATTGCTGATAGGATTGAGAATTGAGTTGGTGTAGTAATAAGTTTATGATTAATAAAGGTGCAATTCCAATTGGTGTTAGGAGTGCCTTAGCTATTGCTTTATAGGTTCAGGTTTGTTAATTAAATGGTATATTGATTTTGTTAATAATTTTTATTTACAAAATATCTGCTCATTCAGAGTCATCGATGTAGTGAAACTAAGGTATATTAAGTTGTTTGTGTAATTTAGCTATAAGTTAGCTTAATAGTATTTTGTGTATTTAATATTATAGTTATGGATATTAGTGATGATGTGGTGATAATGTTAGAGGATTCTGGATTAGGTAATTTTTCTGTATTAAGCAGTTATAGTTTAGGTTGTTTTTTGCTTTGTTGTTGACTAGTTGTTGCTTGTGTTGCTTTAGCTAATAATTTGCTAATTCTTGCAGCTGTATATTGTGAAAAGGAGGGGTGTTTATTTCTTCTAATATGGATTTTGTGTTCAGTCTATGTAATGCTGTTTGGTGTTTCTACTGTGGGCTGAGTTTGTGTGTTATTTACTATTGTACTTGCAATAAGATCAAATATCAAATTATTCTTTTGTGTAAGGTTACTTGTTTGTGATAATTCTTCATCTGTATCTAGTTCTGTAATCATATTGTAAGGTATCACTAAAAAATCTTAACTGTATTTAGGTATCTTATATGCCTTCTGTGCTTTTTCATATAACTGAATAATTAGGTTAAAATTACAGCTGTTTGTACTTTTAGAAAATTTGATGCTAATGTTTACAGAGTTGTTTCTGGTAGTTTTGAAGTCAAAAAGTATTGATTGGGAAGCTTCTTTGTACTTATATAACTATTGTGTTAAAAAGGTAATAAGATTGGAGACATGACCAGATTTGGTAAGATTAACTGTAAAAAGATATTTGTCAGTAAAGTTAGAAACAAGAAAGGTAACAGTAAAGGTAAGTTTGACAGGGTCTTTTATGTTAATACTAATAAACTCTTTTGCATATTCAATAAGAGAGTTGGTGTTTAAGGTTATAGGTAAAGAATTCTTTAAAATAGTTGGTTTGCTTATAAAGTAGACTAAAAGAAAATAGAAAAAGATGCTTTGGAAGGTTGTTTGGTTCAGAGTTTGTGGTGAGTTGGTTTGTAAGTTTTCTATTGTTTTTTTAGTACTTTTTAGAGCTAACATTTTGTGTCTGTATGCTAAGTTAGAAAAAATATAAAGGTCCTTAGGACTGTTTTTGCTAAAGTGCAAGTTGTTTTCTGTGGTACTGTTTTTGGTGTTGTTGTTATTCAGAACTGCTAGTAAGAGATTTTGCTAAAGTTGACACCTCTTTTAGGTCAAGTTTAGTATGTATAACAAGTTTAATTAAGGGTTCAAGGTCACTTTACTTAGTAGTTATTGCTGTATTCTTGCTAGAAAGTTTTTTGCTATTTGTCCAATTTTAGTGAAATGATCTATGAGAGAGTTTTTTTTTTCTAAACTAGTATCTTAAAAAATTTATTAATAATCTTTATTAATAATTTTTATTTATACAAATAATATATATTTTTATAACTATATAATATACTCATAAAATATTAAATTTAAAAAACTATTATTTCCATTATAGTTTTTTACTATTTCTACTATGATTATACAAAATTTATTTTTTTGGGTATTAAGGTGACCTCTTTGGTCTTTTGACTTTTATTAATTACTTATCGGTATTGTGGTTCAATGAACCACTACAG